GAGAAGGTACCCCAACCCCCCCCAGTCCAACCCCCATGGGCAGGGACACCTCCCCCAGCCCAGGCTGCTCCAAGCCCCGGCCAACCTGGCCTTGGGCACTGCCAGGGAGGGGGCACCCACAGCTTCTCTGGGCAACCTGGGCCAGAGCCTCCCCACCTCACAGCCAGGAATTGCTGCCCAAGATCCAGTGGAAATCTCCCAAATTCCAGTCTAAAGCCATCCCCCCTGGTTCCATCACTGCAGCCCTTCTCAAAACTGCAGCGAGGGTTGACTTGAGGACCTGCTGAGAAGGGGGAAGCCCTGGGAGGTCACCCCGGGTCCGTATGGCCAGGACGGTGCTGGGGGTGGATTGGGGACGGCTGCTGGCCCCGGTGCCGCCCTGAGCTGTGAGAGCAGGAGGAGCTCATTGTCCCAAGGTGTTTTTGCACCCCATGTCCCCCCTCATCCCCTGGAGATCCTCAGCCCAGTGCCTGTGCCACCGCAGCCCAGGGCAGTCCCAATATGAGGACATGAGCAATGTCCACCTCTGCAGAGCCAGCATGGGTTTGCTCCAGAAGGGACGTCACAGAATCACAGGACGTCAGGAGTTGGAAGGGACCTGGAGAGCTCCCCCAGCGCAACCCCTGCCAGAGCAGGATCACCAGAGCAGTCACACAGGAACACCTCAGGGCTTTGGGGGTCTCCACACAAGGAGACTCCACAACCTCTCTGGGCAACCTGGGCCATGCTCTGCACCCTCACACTCACAAAGTTTGGCCTCATCTTCAGCTTGAACCTCCTGTGCTCCAGCTTGGGACCATTGCCCCTTGTCCTGGCATTGGACATCCCAGAGCAGAGCCTGGCTCCTTCCTCCTGACACTGCCCTTTCCCAATGGATCCCCAGGAATGAGGTCTCCCCTCAGTCTCCTCTGCTCCAAGCTCAAGAGCCCCAGCTCCCTCAGCCGCTCCTCAGCAGGAGATGCTCCACTCCCTCCAGCATCTTTGTGGCCCTGCTGGAATCTTTCAAGCAGCTCCTGTCCTTCTTGAAGGACCTCACGCAGACTCTCAAGTGATCTGAAGTCCCCGGTGCTGAGCAGATGGCATGGGCGCTGTCCTGGAAGTCTGACAGAGATCTCCTTCTTGCAGCCTCCCCACTGCAGCACTCTGCTTTCCTTCCCATTCTTCCCGAAATCCTCGGCTGTCGCTGCAGGCAGTCGAGGGTTAACCGGCTCCGTCTCACATCTTCAGATGCAGACACGAAATGCTCTGATCTTTTGTCACAAGTCCCTGGGAACCAAAGCCAGCGGTGTCACGTGCAGATAACTCAGAGCATCTCTTCACCAAAAAACCCAACCGACCGACTGAGCCCTGCTTATTTCCCATCCAGTCCCTCGCTTTCAGTAGTGATTTTGATCACGAAGTCAACCGACTGCACAGCCTGTGCGCCTGTGGCCGTGGGTGTGGGATGACAGCTCCAGAAGGGCTTCTAAAAGGAGCCGGTTGCAACCCCGTTTCTGCTGTTTCCTATCTCAGCTCAGCTGGAATCCCACAGAAATCCGCTGCTTTCCGAGGCTCTGCTTTCCATGAGCAGGGAAGCGGGGAACGTGGAGTTGTGTCCCTCCTCGCAGGGCTGCTCCTGCCGTGCAGACGGACGCGCAGCATCCTCCGAGCGAGCAGGTTGAGTGGTTTTTCCCTGTATTTGTGGTTGGGTTGTGGCTGGGAGGGCTGCAGCCCCTCCTGCTCATCCCCAGCTCTGCTCTTAGGGTGCAAATTGAATCTGGGGTTTGTAACGTCCCAGTTGTGCAGTGTGTGGGGATCCTGTGCGAGGAGCGGGGTCTTGGTGCTGAGCAAAAAAGGTGTCCATGGGCCGTGAAAATGTGCAAATGAGGGCAAAAACCCTACACAGAGCCCATAAACCCCAAATACAGCCCATAAACTCTACACACAGCCCAACCTACAACACATCAACCCTACACACAGCTCATAGACCCTACTCACAGCCCAAAACCCTACACTCAGCCCAACCTTCCAGTGCATAAACCGTACACACAGCCTGACCATTCAACACACCAACTCTACACACAGCATAAACATCCAATACATCAGCCCTACACACAACCCATAGACCCTACACACAGCCCATAAACCCTACACACAACCCATAAACCCTACACACAGCCCATAAACCCTACACACAACCCATAAACCCTACACACAGCCCATAAACCTTACACACAGCCCACAGACCCTACACACAGCCCACAGATCCTACACACAGCCCATAAACCCTACACACAGCCCACAGACCCTACACACAGAGCCCATAAACCCTACACACAGCCCACAGACCCTACACACAGCCCAACCACCCGTCCAGCTGTACAAACCCTACACCCATCGAGTCACCCTCCGTGCAGCTGTGCACACTGAGCCCCTGGCCAGGACCCCGCACAACGAGCATCACACAATGAAGCCGCTAACGAGCGCTGCACAACGAGGAGTGGGTTTAGAGCGACTTCTTGAGCCACTGAGCCCGCTTTCACGAGCAGAAAGCAGCTCTGTATGGGCAAATATTTCATACTTAATGAATTTATGATCTCTCACTGGGTAACGATGCTGTTTTACACAACAGATCCCTTCTAATGTGAGCTCCAGCCATTTGTGGCTGGATCGAACCTCGCACAACTGCTGCTCAGAAGCGTTTTCCCAAGCTTACTTCCCTTTGGTCACTGCAGAGGCTTCCTGTGCCCCTTTCTCAGATGGAGTTTACTGCACCAGTAACACATCAAATCACAGATCACTGGGTTGGGAAAGAGCTTTAGGATCATGGAGTCCAACCATGCCCTGTCCGCCACCAAACCACGTTCCCAAGTGCCACATCCACACGGTTTGGGAACCCCTCCAGGGATGGGGACTCCCCCAGTGCCCTGGGCAGCCCCTGCCAGGCCCTGAGAACCCTTTCCAGTTGAACCCCCCAGCTCCCTCATTGCTCCACAG